TAAACCATAAATGGTCCATCATTTCACAGAATGTTTGTCTAAAATAATTCCAGTTCTTACAATTCACAACAGACTAACTACAACAGACTGAGTACAGGTCATTACAGAACCGAATTAAAAAGAAAAACACAATAATTAGGCAACAGTTTAAAACAGCCTTAAGGTTTATGTAATATCTAACTAAAACACACAAGTCTGAATTCAGGAAGCATGAGTGAATTAACTACAGCAGAGACCAAGAATGTGAAATTTAAAATGCACAAATAAGCCCGGCCGGGCGTGGTTCAGTGGTTAAGCGTCGACCTAGGATCCAGGCGATCGGGGTTCAATTCCCGGTCAGGGCACAAGCCCAGGTTGCGGGCTGCAGCCAATCAATGACTCTCATCATTGATGTTTCTTTCTCTCTCTCCCTCTCCTTTCCTCTCTCTGAAATCAATAAAAATATATATTTAAAAAAAAAAAAAAAGCACAAATAATTAAGGCAATGAATGTATAAACTTCCGAAAAAAATGTCCTTAGGATAAGAACAAATGATACTTACAGAAGGATTACAGCACAAAAATCTACATCATTATCATAAAGCTTTTTCCAAGCAACTAACAAAAGTTGCAGTTCAAAATGTGGGTCCCAAGAAGAAAGATTCATTTGATGTGAACCCCAAGAAGGAATATATCTGCTGAGGATTCCCCATAACAAAAGGCCTGAATTTTATAAATAATAAGAGCCTCATGGCCATTTGTGGATGGGCTTGTCAAGGACTCTGTATACCAAGAGGAATCTCAGACTGAACTCTTGGCTTCCCACCTAAGTTCTGCTAGTTTAAAAAGTCTGAGTAAACTATTAAAAAGGAATTTCTGGTTTTATCTTTTGACCAACGGACAAAGACCTATCCTGCCCTGTCCAATCAGAACTGCTCTATAATAACCAATCAGAATGTACAATGCCAACCAAAAGGATTCAGAGATTCGGACCAATCAGAAGTGTCTGAATTTGAATACCTCATTTACATAAAATGGACCTAACTGGGCAACAACTTTGGACGTAAAAGACTGCCTCCCCTTTCTCTGGGTGGAATACAGTTTAGGTTCTAAATCGGTGTCTCCTGGGCTGCAACTCCTTTTGCCCAAATAAATGCTTTTTATTCTTTATTACAGTATAAAATTATTTTTAGTTTACAAAAATATATTTTTTCTAAACAAAGTGGAGCTTTTTTAATTATGAAAAATAAGAAAGTATAAACATAATGTATTCTTGTAAAAATTAACAAGCAGATATCTTTAACAATAAGTCAAACTATTAATTATCTAAATTTTGATTTATTTAGATATTCAACTCAAAATTTTGCAGCCTATTTTTTCATAGAATTTATAAAAAAGCATTTTAAAGAAAAAATATGAATTTTAGATTGCTAATAAGCATTTTTCTGGTAGAACATGAAATGTAAAGTGTTTCTTAAGCACGAAAAAGATGTGAAGAGTTTCTGCATATTTTTTTAATTCAATGCAGCCAACAACTGCTATTGTTATTACTTTCCTGTACATTTTTTGCTCATATATATTTTGACATTAAAATCTAAAATACTGTTATCCATTTATAATGTCTGTATCATGTCTATGTGCATCTAGAGAAAAATATCTAAGATTTTTTTTTAGAGGTTGAAAGAAGGCTGGAGAATTCAGGTTTAGATTTCAAACTTTTGAAAGCCCTCGAACAAGTCAATAGAGTACCTCTGTCTTATAACAAGTTGTAAGAGATGTACTCCAACAACGATGCTGCCTTGCATACCATCATCTTCCCCTTTTACCTCTGCCTCCTTCCTTTCCTGTTCCCCAGAACATTTGGAGGCACCACCCCTCAAGGAGAGGGCTCTCTGACTTGTGCCAAGGATACAACAGTTCCACGAAAGATGTATAAAAGCATTAAACTGGGAGGATAAGAAAGACGCGTCTTGAGGAACTGAAAGAGGGCCCGGCCCGCTCCTTCCTCCCTGAGCACTAAGGAGGGTACCCTGCCCTGTAAGCATCGCAGCGGGACACACCTGCGGCTCCCAAGCAAAGGGCGGCTGGTTGGACTTGCTCTCTGCTTGGAGGCTTCCATGGCACTAGGGAGGCCTCCAGCAGGTAGTAAGGAAGAAACTGGCTCTTCCCACCTGGTTGAGTTTAAAAGAGACCTTGAGATTCACAGTCAGCACAGCCCCACCCAGCCCGTCCAGCAAAAAGAGCAGGAATTCAAGGAAGATGCAAGAGCAAAAATGATCCTTCAGGCTGGAGAGTCAACTGTGTCAGAGAAAGGGGTGGCGAACAAAGGGCTTCACCTCGGGATGCACATCCAGAATCACGTTCCTTTTAACAGTTACATGAAACGTTTAATTAGTAAAAAAAAATATGTTGAAACACTGGCCACAAAGAAGTATTTTTATTTGGTACATCGAGGAATGTACTAAATATCATTTAGATGTGATTTGATTGGAGAAAATCTCAAATTACATAACCCACAGTTTTACTTTAAATGTAACATTATAATGCTTTTGAAAGTTGCAGTTACTACTTGCAATTCTGGTGAGGACCACAAGTAAAAGTGGACAGGAAAGTCTAAAAATAACTTAATTACACTCTATTAATGATCCATGCATCACGAATGCATAGCTACCATTTACTGGCATAATCAAAGAAGAAAAGAAAGGTTACAACAGGTAATCTGACTACAATGCAGCTACTGAGTTATTTACTACTAATTTTAACATTATTTTAATTCTCATTTGCAAAGACTCATAGTCATAGTGGGAATAACAAGACTTTCCATTTATGAAAACTAACACACCTTATTTAAAACTTAAGTCAAATGTTTCGTATCTGAAGTTACCCTTATGGCTCCCAAAAGGATTCTGTTCTGGCAAAGATGCAATTTTAATCCGTGTACTCACAGCAGACGCTTCTCAGGTTACTTTCTTTTAATTGTTTAAGATGAGCAAAACATTTTAAAGCTAAAGGATCATACAAAAATCAATGTTCTTCTACACTCTTGAGAAATATTCCAATTCTTATACAGGCATACCTCATTTTATTGTGCTTATTAGCTTTTTCTGCTTCAAAGATGTTTTTTGTTTGTTTGTTTGTTTGTTTGTTTTTGTTTTACAAATTGAAGGCAAGGCCCTCTGCCAAAAAAAAGAATTTCACTTACTTTATTGGGGTGGTCTGGAACTGAACCTGCAATATCTCCAAGGTAAGTACTTCTATATGCAATCAATATTTTAAAGAATATTTACTAAATGAGAGGTTTAGAAAGTGGGTTCTGGAGTCAGATTTACTGGAATGAAATTCAATTCACTATCCTTAGGCGCCTAGGAAAATTAACCTAAGACTCAGTTACCTTGTAAGAAAATAAATGAATATTACCTACTTCACAGGGCCATTGTGAGAATCAGATAACCCATGCAAAATTATAAACCAAACTAGAACCTAGGTGTTTAATAAATCATACTATTACTATTGATTTCCTAATAAATACTAGACACTGCTACTGGCATCAGGGATACCAAGTTAGACAAATAAATTAGGGCCTCTGCCCTCAGAGTGGCTGCTCTCATGGGAGGTTCAGAAACTAACAGTCTTGTAAACTATCATGTTTTCTCCTGCAAATGTTAGATCTCCATGTCTTCTCTTGCAAATACAACCAGGATTTCACACTGTAATTACCAAAGGTACCTAAGAGCAAGAGAACAGAGTAGATGCAGGGGAGGGGGTCTTGCAAAAATGCCAGCCTCCAGGCAGTGCAAGAGACCTGTAATAGCTTTTAGCATCACACCAGTAATCAGTAACAGCCAAACCTGAACAGCCTCACGACTCCCACCAGAGAGACAAGTGTTAGCTTTCAGTGAAAAAAATATCCCACCTCAACTCTAGAGAAAAACCACAACTATTTTAGGTGTAACTTTGAGAAACACAAAAGCTCTCTCCACTATAAGTTTGCTCTCAAAAAGAATTTGACTTACTGCAGTTACCTCAAGCTACCAGACACTGGTGGGCCCCTTTACAGTCCCCGCCTCTAGCGGACCTGGTTTCATACTGTACTATTATCATCATTTTACATCTGTTTCCTACACCACACTTCACGCCCCATTACTCCTCTACGCTATTAAATAAAAGATAAGAAACAGCGGACCCAAAATGTGCTAAGCTCCACAATACCTAACCCAACTGCAGTTTCACGCTCTCCCTGGAATGGAAACTTTATCTAGTCAACATAGAATTATGTGGTCAACACTAGTAAGGCAACGTGCAGGGCAGCCCCCTGACTTCACTCCCCAAGGAACATGACCTTCAGTGGAACAGCCCATTCTTTGCTAGAATAACTTCCTTGCCCTGTCTCCATCTGCCTAGAAAAGTCTTCCATTGTGTACAACTCCTCAGAGCTCCTTTCTATTTGCTAAACGGGATGCTGCCCGATTCATTAATCACTGAACAAAGCCAATTAGATCTTCAAGTGCACTCAGCTGAATTTCGTTTTTTAACACTACCTCCTTCACACCTAGTACAGTGACCAGTAGTACCAACTAGGTAGTCACTAGATGTCTGTTGAATTATGAATTCATGCCACGCATTGTACAAGGAAGTAAAAACACAAACATTAGAAACATGGCCCCTGCCAAAGAACAAATAATGCAGTGGGGAGACAGAGTCAGTAATTCCAATATCAGAAGAGTGTTCATGGAAGAATGTAATGCCAGGTGTGGAGGAGAGGCAGAGGAAGGAATGTCCACACAGAATAAAAAGAAGGGATGCTCCCACAATTAAATGTCTGAAAGCTCAAGACTCTGAAAAATAATGTTCAGGTGAAATGGCGTGACAAAAAAGTTTTAAAAGAGAAGAAAAGGTTGGTTAAATTTGAAACAGAAGTCAAATTTAGAAAAGAAAAAAAAAAAATCACTGAAAATGCATTTGTTTAAAATAACTAAATTCCACCAAATTGAATACTTACAACTTATCATAAAAAGTACTTACCTGGCTGAAACTCCTTTTGTTGACCCTGGGATCTCTGGCACAGGCCGATGTCTTAGCAGAAAAGATCGAGATGGCCTTGAAACCAACTTGCTACGACTCCTCATAGGTGCTAGGAACGGTGAGGATGGGACATACAACTCATTTACAACCATTTCTCCTTGGAAGTTGAAGAAAGGGGACGGTGGTGATCTTTCTAACAAACCATTAGTTCCATTTCCAGAACTGGCTTCTGATACGGAACAGCCAAGGGAAGAAAGGCACTCGGGGTCTGCGTTAGGAAGCTTGCTCTCATCTTCTGAGATGAAACCAACCTTTTCTGTTTGTTGTGCTTCAGTTGTACAATCCACAGTCTGCTTCGTAATCAAAGATTCTATCTTAGTATTTTCAGTACCAAATAACGAATCTTGAAAAGAGCCTAAATTCAAGTGCGGTTCTTCTTCTGGAATGGGAAAGTTGTGTTTAGGAAGAGACGGCTCATTGTCTGCTTTAAGAGGCTGGCTGTTTTCCACACTAACGTCCTTGTGATCAAGACTTTTTATAACAGTCTCCAACTGCGCCGGGCTGGGCGCCTGAACAGTGCGTGAACCCGAGACTTCCACGCAGGTGTCCTGATCGGAAGATGCAGCACGGTGATCCTCGGAAGCCTCACCGTTCTTCTTCGCTTTATGAATATTTGCATATATTGGGATATCTTGCATTTTTGACAAGATGATCTGTAACTGCTTAATGATCCTCCTCCGGTGTCCTGTAGGTGATATTCCAATTTTGTGTAGCACACTGTCATCGACCGCCGCGCAGTCCTTCACGGTATTAAAACCAAACTCACGGAAGTGGGAGAGATACTGCTCCAAGTTAATGCTCATCAGGAAATCTTGGATGTCGACATTTACTTGACTGACTGAGGACATAATGGTGGCTTCATCACTAGGCTGCTGGATGAAAAGCAGTCCTGGGAGAGAGACACACACACACACACACACACAGGTATGCTTCTGTATTGGTTCTTCCTCTCTCACCGGCAACAGAAAAATGTCTCAAAATGGTATTTTCTCCATAGCGAATGCTTTACGTGCTTAAGCCTAGAAAAAAAAAAAATTAATTAGGGCATTTTCGTTATTAAAACCTAGTTTTACATTATAAACTCTTACACTATTTTCATAATTACTTTCACCCACTGAGAGTCTGGAATCTTTGCGCATTGCTGCAATGCCCTGCAAAGTCAGTTCCTAGGTAGAGCGTGGAGGTACAGGACAGAAATGCTATGGGAGCATCAGACGATGATTTTCAACACGGCAAACAAGGCCTCTCACACGACTATAAAATGAACATGTGTAAAAAATGTTATTCGAATCATTAATGAAAGAACCAGTAAGATGGACGGTAAGGTTAGTTCCAAGAGCATTTGTGGAACAGGCTTATACAGTCCATCAGAAAAGGCTTTTATTTTTTTCATTTTTATAGTGTTAGAATAAGACCGGTAGGTTACTTTAAAAAAACACACACAAAAAACTGGTTAATGTCCTACAGGGCAATAAAACCATAGCCTTTAGAGCTGTGGAGAAAAATCTGTAAGTGAATAGGTAACTTCCCAGTTCTGGGCTTTAACCCAACAGTAAATGAAAGTGGAGCACAAGAATTACAATTAATATCCTGAGGATGGGCCTATTAAACAGTACCCCCAACAAGGTATTGAAGGAGCATGTTGTACATTGTTTTTCATTGCCAAGTTTTAGATAATTTTTTTAACAGCTACTAGATATGAACAACTTTCCCCTTTACTACACTTTCTTCAAAGGCTCTCTTAAAAAGTACAGCTAGAACATATTTCTCAGGTCAATAATTCTCATTTCAAAACAGCATCAGCATTACATGTACAATATTGACATGCAAGATAAGACTAGCTGAATGATTAGTTAATTCTTAAGTACATTATATAACAGGAAGTTAATATGAAAGTAAAACGAAAATGTTTAAAGGTCGCATTTTCCTTAATACGCAGCAGATTCACATAGGTTCATTCTTCTCCCAAACAACACCAATAATTTTTTTTAAAGTTGATTTATCTAGGTTTCTCTTTTCATAGCTGTGTTCACTTTGTGAAAATGCATATGTGAAAATTTCTTAATATTATGCTTCAGTAAAAAGAAAAAAGCACAGATCACGCACAACACCCATCTACTGCAAGGATAAAATGAGACACACCCAACAATGGAAATTCTCTGAACAAGCGTCAGTCGGTGCAATGTTTCTGGAAATTGTAGCTCAAATAGTTCTCCAAAAGGCACCACTCAGATGCCGCATGTCTTACATGCCAACAACCCAGAAACTATTGCCTCAACTATTTAAAATATCAGGGATAAGAGGGAAAGTCCATATCATACTCAGGCAGCACCGCAGGAGCAGAGAAATAAAAATACAAGAGATGAAAGAGGCAGGGCATGCATTTATCAATAAGGCATCTCTCTGTCACACTCCAAATGACAAAATGGCAGGAGGAAACCAGCAGAGAGTTAAGCCTCAACACCACATTCAAACCTAGACCTCAGATATACCACTTTTTATAAACGATTATTTTATAGATGAACACATTTATCTAATTTTTTGGCATATCACAAAATGGGAATAATTGTTGCCAAATCTGCTGGGACCATGACCTTGGGCTTTCCGTTCTCCTGAACTGGGAGAAAATAAACGCCTGTTTTTTAAGCTAGGCGGTCTGTGGGATTTTGTTGCAGCAGCACGAACTGACCAATACACTCCTCCACCCTCACTGCCTTTGCCCCGGTTCAGACCTTCATTATAATACCTCGTGCCCGGATTACTGCAACACTCAACCAGTCCCTCAGCCCACTCTCCATGCATCAGTGAGTTACTGAAAATCCAAATTTGGTATATTACACCACATCCTCAACAGGATCAAGTCTAAGCTTCTTACGGTGCCATAAACAGGGTCCAGTCTTGGTCTACCAGTAATAAGAGCAGCCACTACTGATGTAAACAGCAATTATGTGCCAGACACCATACCTCATACACATTTCCTGCAACGTAGGTGTTCCTACATGCTGACTGCAGGCTCAAGTTCAACCTGTGTCAAACATTCTACCCACATCCTTTAGTTCATTGTTAATTATCGTTCCCAAGGCAAACAACTGTTTAATAGCCCCATACCTTTTGCATATGCTGTATCTGCTTGCAAATCTACACATTTTGCAAAATCCTATGCGCAATTTAAAATTCTGAACAGGCTGGTATTAACTCCTTTGTGAAGACTTCCTATTGACCTTAAATAAAGTCATTCCTTTTTCATTATATAACTAGATCCTTGAAACTTGCCAAGGGCTTGGGACATGTTTAAGAAATAGGAGAGAGGTTAGTAGGGATGGCAGAATTGGTTGAGAGGCCCATTTTGTTAGTTTTTTGGTGTGCACATGTGTTTTAATTTGCAAAGTCCTTTCCTTCCCTTACAGTAATGTACACATACTTCCTGGGTGGATGACTGGGGATGGATACACCAAATGTTCTACCCAAACATCTCTCTCCATATCAGTCAACATCTGAATATGGCTCGTGAACCTAACACCTTTTCCTGACCCAGAAGAGGTTCCCTCCCACGGGCCCGACAGTCCTCTGTGCACTTTAATAACAGCTCATCCTCTAATCACCTGGCTTTTTAACTGTGTTCCCAGTGAAAGATATTTGGTGACAGACCCACTTCTTTCTTTAGAGGCTGCTAGCCCATACGCAGTCATCAGAGGCAAAGAGATGGACAGGCCTAACTCTAAGTCTCTTACATTCAAACTCCTTAATATGAAATTGAAGCCCTCCATGTTCTGACCTCCACTTGGACACAATGGCACACATGCCACGTGCTAGGTGGGTGGCTCTCCAGGTGCTGGTCTGTGGATCTGCTGTACAGCAACAAAGTGCTGATAACAGGCCCAGGAACCTGTTCTTGTAACACAAAGCTGACAGATGTTCAACAAAATTTGGTAATTAGTCTTAAATCCCTCACGCTCCCCAATATGCTTTACACCATGTCACCTGAGCCTAAGCTCATCACTCTTCTCCCCTAGGATGGAATGTCCCTCCTAACACGCTACCCACAAATCTGGAATCCGACTCAAATCCTACCTCCCACACTTTCTAGCAGTGGTAACACAGGCACATGTCTGTATGTCAGTTTCCTTAACCATAAAATGGCAATACTCCAAGGTACCTCGGGACTGGTGAAGATTAAATGAGATAATCCACCTGGAAGTATTAAAATAGTGCTTCGCAGATGGCAGCAGTTTTCAACCGGTGGGCTGCAAGAATTTTTAAAGCATGCAATACCTGACTATTTAGTCGGGCACTGACCTCTTTTCCCCTAGACTGTCAAGTTAAAAAAATGACAACAGTCAACACAACAGCCACCTGGTGTGAATGCTCTGTCTTGAACCATAAATATATAGAGGTCATATAACAGAGTTGCGTCTTACTGGTCATGTTGCATAACAAGGTTACATCTATCTGACTGGTTAGGTCTTGGTACCAGAAATCCTTATATACAAGTGTGGGTACCTGACCTTTTAAAAAGTCTCTTTGGAGCAAAAAGGGTAGGTATTACAAATATTATTATTTTCATAAATCAATCAAAATTATACCTATGCTTTGTCATATCGGCAAAAAATACATTTTTGGGTGTGCCACAGAATTTTAGTAATTACTTTATGTGTGCCCTGAGATGAAAAAGGTTGAAAACCTCTGGTATATGTAAGTGTTCAGCAAACATTCACTTCCATCATTATAATTATTTCTTTTCATCACTACAGTCATTACCTTCCCACAGCTGAAACCTTTCCCATTCTTTGAAGTCTAACTCAAATGCTGTTTCTTTCACAAGGTTTCTGATGAAAAGAAATAAACTCTCTTCTTTATCTTCCCACAGCAGTTACTTCAGAGCACTCCATTACATCCTACTCATTCAACAGTACCCTACACAAGTGGGACAATACAGTGCAAAAGCCAAGATTTTGGAGCTGAGCAACCTGGGTCAAATCCCAATTCCTCTATTTATTAGTTTTGTGAACTTGGACAAGTACTTAAGCTCTCTGTGCCTCAGTTTCCTCATCAGGAACATGAGAATAATAACAGTACCTACTTTATAGGGCTGTTGTGAAGGATTCAGAATACCGACTACACATAACAAATGCTAAATAACTGTTTGCCATTATAATTAGTTTTTGTTATCCCATTATAAACTAATAACTCTGCCAAGATGATCACCAGCCCTTATAAACTGCCCAATAAATTCCAGTCAAGTTTATTTGTTTATAAACTTAGCGCATGGTGTACATGTAGAACGTGTTTGGAGAGTGTATGAAGAGCTGGCGTGACAGATGAGGTTGTGCATCTGCTCATCCTATCCTGACCCATTTCCAAGAGGAAGAAGAAAAAGGAAGCAACATTTAGGAGCACCTGCTACATGCCTGGCTTGCAACAGCACTTAGCAAACATGATCCTACTATCTTTCTGGTCTCTGCCTTGGAACTACATCCTGAACCAACCACTTCTCACCACCTGCCCTGCTCACATCCTAGTCCAAGCCATTACCGTATCGATCTTAGACCATTGCAAAGGCCTCCTGACTGAGAGCCCTGATTCTGTCCTGGTCTCCTACCTACCCCCTTCCCCACAGTCCAGTCTCAATACAGCAGCCAGGTGATATATTTTATAAGTCACTCCCTGAGACTTCTCAGCTTTCCCTGGCTTTCCCCCTCCATCACTCAATTGCCACCCAGCTGGCCTCAGTCCTATTCCCACCTCACGACCTGACCTTACCTCTCATCCTTCCATCTCTTTTGAATCTGTTCCCCAACACACACCCACGACTCATGGCTCACTCCATCACCTCGGCAGGTCTCTGCTCAGATGGGCCCGTTAGAGGCCTTCCCTAAGGGCCCCATGTGTATGAGCATACCTGTGCCTCACTGCTCCTCACCCTTGCTTTATCAATCTTCATGGCATCGGTCACTACCTGACATCTATGCACTGCTGCAAGAGGGCAGGGATCCTGTCTACTGTTCAGTGCTCCAGTTCC